ATGCAATCAAAATGTATTGATAATTACTGGTGATGGGATGCAAAGATTGGAAACAGAGGAAGGATCAGTAGTTGGAAAATATGGTCTTGGTGATAGACACGATGCTGGAGATCACATGATAGAATTTTGCAAGATCAATGACTTCTTCATTGCAAATACCTTTTTAAAATAACATAAAAGATGACTATATACATGGACCTCACCTGATGAAATACACAGAAATCAAATTGACTACATTTGTGGAAAAAATACAAGGGCAGAGGCAGACTGTGGAATAGACTGTAAATTGCTCATATGCAAGTTCAGGCTGAAGCTGAAGAAAATGAAAACAAGTTCACAAGAGCCCAAATATGACCTTGAATATATCCCACCTGAATTTAAAGATCATCTGAAGAACAAATTTGATGCATTAGACACTAAAGACCTAAGACCAGAAGAGTTGTAAGATGACATCAAGAACATTATACAGGAAGAAAACAAAAGGTCATTAAGAAGACAAGAAAGAAGGGAAAGACCAAATGGATATCAGAAGAGACTCTGAAACTTGCTCTCCAGCATAGAGATGCTAAAGCAAATGGAAAAAATGAGGAGGTAAAAGAACTGAACAGAAAATTTCAAAGGTCATCTTGAGAAGACAAAGTAAAATATTATAACATAATGTGCAAAGACCTGGAGTTAGAAAACCAAAAGGGAAGAATACACTCAGCATTACTCAGGCTGAGGGAGCTAAAGAAAAAATTCAAGCCTCAACTTGAAATATTGAAGGATTCTATGGGTAAAATATTGAATGATGCAGAAATCATCAAATGAAGATGGAAGGAATACACAGAGTCACTGTACCAAAAAGAAATGGCCAATGATCAACCATTTCAAGAGGTAGCATATGATCAAGAGCCAATGGTCCTGAAGGAAGAAGTCCAAGATGCATTGTAGACATAGGCAAAGAAAAAGGCTCGGGGAATTGATGGAAAACATACTGAGATCTTTCAACAAACTGATGCAACACTGGAGGCACTCATTCATCTATGCCAAGAAATTTGGAAGACAACTACCTGGCCAACTGCTTGGAAAAGGTTCATATTTGTGCCCATTCCAAAGAGGCAAACCAATGGAATGCAGAAATCATCAGACAATGTCATTAACATTGCATGCAAGTGAAATTTTGCTAAAAACACAAAAATGGCTGGAACCATACATTGACAGATAACTTCCAGAGATTCAAACCAGATTCGGAATAGGCCATGAAATGAGGGATATCATTGCTGATGTCAGATGGATCTTAGCAGAGAATACCAGGAAGATGTTTACTTGTGCCTTACTGACTATACAACGGCTTTCAATTGTATGGATCATAACAAGCTATGAACAACGTTGTGGAGAATGAGTATTCCAGAAGACTTCATTGTTCTCATGAAGACCCTGTATATAGAACAAGAGGCAGTTGTTTGAACAGAACAAGGGAACACCGAATGGTTTAAAATTAGGAAAGGTGTGAGCCAGGGTTTTATTCTTTTACCATATCTGTTGGTTAATGTGCTGGACTGCAAGGTCAGTTGTCGGTGGTTTAAGCTTGCTAGCTGCTCCTTGGAAACCCTATATACATGGTTGCTATGGGTCAGAACTGACTCAATGGCCCTTAACAACAATAGCAATTCAATCTGTATGCTGAGCAAATAATACAAGAAGCTGGATTGTATGAATAAAAACATGGCATCAGGATTGGAGGAAGACTCATTAACAACCTGTGATATGCAGATGATACAACCTTGCTTGCTAAAAGTAAAGAGGACTTTAAAATTCTTGCTGATGAAGATCAGAGACCAGAGCCTTCAGTATGGGTTGCATCTCAATGTAAAGAAAACAAAAATCCTCACCACTGGACCAATAAGCAACATCCATATAAATGGAGACAAGATTGAAGTTGTCAAAGACTTCATTTTGTTCATATCAACCATCAACACTTATGGAGCAGCAGTCAAGAAATCAAATGACATACTGCATTAGGCAAATCTGCTGCATAAGACCTTTTTAAAGTGTTTAAGAGCAAAGATGTCAGTTTGAGGACTAAGGTGCACCTGACCCAAGCCATGGTATTTTCACTAACCTCATATGCGTGTGTAAGTTGGACAGTGAGTAAGGAAGACTGTAGAAAAATTGATGCATTTGAGCTGTGGTGTTGAAAGATAATATTAAAAGTACCATGGACTGCCAGAAAAACAAACAGATCTGTGTTGGAAGAAGTACAGCCACAATGTTCCTTGGAGACCAGAATATCCAGACTTCATGCCTCATATGAGTCAGAATTGCCTCCACACCACCACCACCACCACCACCACCACCACTTCGGACATATTATCAGAAGGGACCAGTCCCTGGAGAAGAATATCATGTTTGGTAACATGGAGGGTTGGAGAAAAAGAGGAAGACTCCGAACGAGATGAAGGGACACAGTGGTGTCAATGGACTCAGACGTAGCAACGATTGTGAGTTTAGTGCAGGACTGACTGGACAGTGTTTCCTTCTGTTGTGCATAGGGACGCTATGAGTCAGTACCAATTCAATGACACCTAATAACAACAACAAGAAGCTTCACAGAAACAGACTGTTACATCTTTCTGCCTTCAGAGTGGCTGGTGGGTTCAAACCACCAACCTTTCATTTAGCAGCTCAGCGCTTAACTATTGTGCCACCGGGGCTTCTTGCATACAAGGGGGCTTTAAAAAGTTCATTATCTTTTCATTCCATTTTTCCACTAACTTTTGAAGTTCTCTCATATGTGTCACAAGATTAAATTATTTACTATCTGTCTTAGTTATCTAATGCAACTATAACAGAAATACCACAGCGGATGGCTTTAAGAACCAGAAATTTATTGTCTCACACTTGAAGTCCAAATTTAGAGCACAGGCTCTTGGGGAAGATTTTCACTGGTGGCTCTGCATAGAAATCCTTGTCTCCTTTGTGCATCTATAGAGCCAGCATTTCCTGGAGATCTCCATACATCTTGGCTTCAATCTTCCCCAGGATCTAGGAGCTTCAGTGCACAGGGACCCCGGGTGGTCCAAAGGAAGCACTCCACCTCTGGCTCTTCTATCTTGGTGGGAGTAGGTCCCTCTTTCTCTGCTCAAGTCTCTCTCCTTTTATCTCTTATAAGATAAAAGGTGTTCTGTAAATTAGACCAGGGTGGTGGTGGGATTTGTCCTGGTGTAGCACTGTAGGATTAGCATTGGGCTGCTAACCACGAGGTAGGCGAACCCTCTAGCCACTACTTGGAAACACTCTAGAGCAGGGGTGGGGACATCCAGCCAACAGGCCGTATGTTGTTGTTGTTGTTTGTTATATGCCGTGGAGTCGGTTCCGACCCAAAGCGACCCTGTACAGGGTTTCTGAGGCTGTAAATCTGTACAGGAGCAGAAAGCCTCATCTCTCTCTCGCAGAACAGCTGGTAGTTTCAAACTGCTGACCTTGCGGTTTGCAGCCCAATTTGTAACCACTACGCTACCAGAGCTCCTTGTTGTTGTTTAGTGCCGTTGAATCAGCTCCGACTCATAGTGACCCTATGTAGGGTTTTCTGAGGAGGGGCTGGTGAGTTTGAACCACCAACTTTGTGCTTCAAACCAACCATTCAGTCTAGTGCTTAATCCTACAGTACCACACCAGGACTCCAAGCGGACCGTGTAAGGCCCTCAAAATCATTTTATCTGGCTCTGCCAAGGCAACTACAGTTCCAGCCATCACGTTGTTGTTGTTGTTGTTGTTATGTGCCGTGGCATCTGTTACGACCCATAGCGACCCTGTACAGGGTTTCCGAGGCTATAAATTTTCCGGGAGCAGAAAGCCTCATCTGTCTCCCATGGAACAGCTGGTCGTTTCGAACTGCCGACCCTGAGGTTAGCAACCTGATTCGTAACCACTACGCTACCAGAGCACCTTACATTATGGGTTAGTTAATTAAAATTTGACCAAATATAGCAGGCTAATTTTTAAGTTGATAATTCTCTATGGCCCGTGAATGATATTTTAAATTTCAGCAGATAAAAGGTTCCACACCCCTGCTCTAGAAGGTTGCGGATGAGTCAGGACTGACTCAACAGAACTTAACAACAGCAACACATCCACCTTAATCCTCTCATGGGTTTATTACATCAAATCACATCATGGCGGATGGCTGTATCTCAACTGCCCAATCACTGAGAATCCTGGTCCAGTCAAGTCGACATAAATCCTTAACCATCACACACTATCTGACCCTTTACAGACACAGTTTGCTAAAATGTAGTTTAGAGCAGCATCATGTGCTGAAGTCTAAAACCTCATTTTTGATCAGCTCTTCTCTTTCAACTTTAAAGAGAGTACAGGGACCCCTAAAATAAAAGTTTAGGTATAAACTTTTATTGGGTACTGACTGCTGTCCCAAGGTAAATGACACTGTATTTAAGTATACTATTTTAATTTATTATATATTGGCACTTTTTGTATATACTCTTCTAGCGGTCCTCAATTCTGACTGCATTTTTTAAATCACCTGAGGAGCTTTGAATATACTATTGCCTGGCCCCCTACACTGGAGACCCTAATTTAATTAACCTAAAATGGGCCCATGTATAGGGGTTTCTTACATGCTCTCCAGGTAGTTCTGATAATTCAGCCAGAATGTGGTCTCAGAACCACATGCCTACATCATTCAGAGGTCTGTCCCTATTGACAATTAGCCCATATTCTAAGCAGGTTTTATTCACATTTTTCATTACAAATACAATAAAGCTAAATCATACAAATTGATCTTTAATTTCAAGACAGAAGTGTTGCTCAGGGAAATATTAGCTGAGACAATTTTGAAATGTGAGGAGCCCATGAAACATCTGCAGAGCCCAGAGAAATCGAATTTAAAAGATAGGCGCTGCGAGGCGCGTGCTGGGGGAGAAAAAGACCCAAAACATTTGAGAATTTCCAGACACAATCACAGAGTAGATTTCTTGCTATCTGGGTAAGTGTATCTATTTTCAAAAGTGCTATTAACATAAACAGAGCAGTAAATGTAGGACAGGACACTTTTTTTCAAAGTTGTTAAGAAGAATGCTATCAGTTTGCAGGTGTCACAAGTAGAGTTACTCAGAATCAGAAAGAAGGCTGATGGGGTTAGAAGATCTCCATCTATCTTTTTGCAACCAACCACGTCCAGACTGTTTATTTAATACTTCCTCTTGCTAATGAAGACACTGGTTGGGGATGTGTTGGGCTTTCCCATCTCAGCATAAGACTGCAAGATTTGAATGTGCCCTGTGGCGGCTTCACTGACCACAGCAGGTACCCCAGGCAAGACTGAGCAGGAACAACAGGTAACAGCAACCGAGTGTGGATCAGACCTCTGACACTCTTCCTTCCAGCTTATTTCCTTCTCTTTTCATTTACCAACGTCTTCTTTTCCTTCTTCTTTGTACATTTTTCCAAACCAGCAAGTGTGGAGGCAAGACACATCAAAGCAGAGATGGGGACTGAAAGAGCTCTCGTTCTGGACAGATTAGCAAGCAATGTGGCCAAAAGAAAAAGCTCAATGCCTCAGAAGTTCATTGGTAAGCACACAAACCTTTTTCCTGCTGCTGTTAGCATAGTTTGAATGAGATAACATAGGACAGGCCCTTCCTAGCTTAATCTGTTTCAATAAGGTATTTGGTTTTCCACTGTATGCTTTTATTCTTTATGGTTCTTGTTAACAACAGGAGCAAACAGGATAAATGCTATTAACTGTAGAATCTTAACTACAGATGATGGGAGTATTTGGTGTCCAGTTTCCTAAATGGAGTTGGTGTTTTAAAATGCTGCTTCTTCCTCTTTGTTCTGAATGACATGTGTTGCAGGAGAGTGTTTATGCAATTTGCACCAGTAAGATATTTTGAGATAACATGTTTGTAATCTTTTGTACGTATATTTTACAAGTTGAGTTTGTTCGTTGGCTCAAACTTTTTCATGCTCTAAAGTATATTGGCATATTTTCTTTCATTTGATTGAGAATTGACTTTAAAGGAAGGTAGTGAGAAAACACAGATTTTAAATAACAAGGATTGAGTTATTCATATGTCTCATTGGAGTTACTTTTTACGCCACTGGCTTTCACATTGTCAAAAGATACAGCAAAATGAGAAGGCTAAGAAGTAATTATGTTCATTAAAGTGTTAGGACTGCTGAATGGCAGAGATATTTTTCTGAACTTTTCCAGATGTTTACATAAGTGTGATCATGGTGATTAAAATAGATACGTATATTTGAAGTAGGCAGCGGAATTGAATGGCATCGATTTTGCTATAAATTGAAAGTTAGTTGGTGATATTGAACAAAAATAGTTATCAAACAAAAATAGAGCTCCCTCCACACCAGTAATATTGTAGAAACCTGTCAGCCATTCTCCAAAGCTGCTTGCTGCGGTTGGTTTTTCACTTCAGTCCTCTTGTGGTTATCCTTTTCAATAACATAGATATGAAGGGCTTGCTGGATTTTTTAATATGGCTAGATTTTATTCTGGTCTAGATCATTTTATGCCTGCAGTAATTGTATGTGTATCACAGAGATGTATTAAAAGAACACATGTACTTTGGGATTACCTAACAGGAGTATTTATTTCAGCTTATTTCTTTAATTTTGATGATCTGAAAAGCATTTGTACACTTTCAGAATAAATTGTGTCAGACTAAGGTTGGTGCATTCCCCTCTTCCCTCCCTTCAGTGAGACCCCTCAGGGAAGCATGTAGTGGCAGAGTTTAGACACTCTGAGCCAATTGTAATTCCAAGAAGCTGTCTGAAAACATTGCCCCTCTTTCTCTATAATTAAAATGCACCAATAATTTAAATGCACCAATTTTTCCTTGGTCTTCCTTACTGTTGAAGATCCAAGACTACAACTGCCAGAATGGATTACACCTGAACATAAAGAAAATAAAAATCCTCACAACTGAACCAGTAAGCAAACATCATGATAAATGGAGGTGGCTGAAGTTGTCAAGGATTTCGTTTCCTTGGATCCACAATCAACACCCACGGAAGCAGCAGTCAAGAAAGCAAATGAAGTATTGCATTGGACACATCTGCTGCAAAAGACCTCTTTAAAGTGTCGAAGCAGCACGCAGCTGATTGCTTTTGAAATGATTGCATGTATAAGCAGAACAAATATTTTGCATACTCATTTCTTTCTAAAACTGAACCGAGGAAGCTATTAAGGCTTTACTTGGTGTGATGTGGGAGACATTATATTAGGATTCAGAGAAGATGTTTACTTTGTTATCCATAATCATTAGCACTGAAGTGTGGCTTGCTGTTGGAGATAGGGAGGAGGTCACAGGATTTTAGACAAGAACTCTCACTTCTGGTGAAATCAGACGCCTGCAATTTGTGGTGTCAGCTGCCATTTTCTTTGGGAGGAAGAAAGAATTTCAATCAGAAAAATCCAAAAAGGCATAGACTTGTGTATTCTGCTGTGTATATTCTCAAAAACAACAATTAAAATAATTTTTAATTGAAATAAATTCACAGCTTTTAACACAACATGATAAACATAATCAATGTCACTAAATTATACATATAAAAAATTATCTTTCTGTCTGTACTTATGTGGTAAGGTTGTGATTGTACAAAAGAAAGCTTGGATAGTTATTCTTTGCCACAAATATATTTTAATTTGGGGAAAGTTTTGATGCTTGAAATAGCTGAAACTAATACAAATTAGGAATATGGGGAGCAATGGATTGGAGGGGGAGAAAGTAGTTATGGTACATGTTCATCTAAAACCACTCAAATATAAGAGAAGGTAGTTCTTAGAGCTGCCTTAAGCCTGTAGTTGAGCTAAGCTCTATTTATTTTTAATAAAAGTCATAGTGATCTTTTCATGGGTTTAAAACAACATGTTTCATATGAGCAAAACCATACCCGAGGCCATGAGAATTGCTCTGCTCGTTATCATTTCTATCACTCCCCCATCTCCAGACTCAAGAGAGATGCCAATTTTGTAGTTACTGATTTCTGTCATCTTCTGAACCATCATGTTCTCTGTGCTGGAATCAGGAAACCCAGTAGTTAGGTCATCATTGAGCTAACAAGAGTTAGTAAGCTCTGGGCTTCAGGACTCAGGATAAAGGGAAATTTTGGGGGGGGGGGAAATAAATGTGGTATTGAAAAAGTACTGCACTGAAAGAGCGCTAGATTGGAAGCCAAAAGACCCAGGTTCCAGTCCAGACTCTGTTGTTTCTTCCTGTGGGTGCTTAAACAAATCACATAAACTTGCTAGGCCTCTGTTGACTCATCTGTGAAATGAAGAGACTGGATAGGTGATGAAGTGATCTGGAAGGCCCTTCCCAGCACTAACATTCTGCAAGTCTGTGAGATGAATAGGAAAAGAAATCTAAAGTAGCAATTATGACTACCATTTGTGTTTCGAAAGTCTGTATGTAGGACTTCGTACAAGAATAGTATAATATTATAAATCAATTTATGTCTTTTAAAGTTTGTTTTGTTTTTTCCTTAGGAAGGTGTTAAATCTCAGAATCTGTAAAACAGTTGTATTTGCTCTACATTCTTATATTTTATTTAGGATAGAGCTACATGCAAATGGCCATAGAGCTCCTGCGATATACATAGGCCCTGTTCTAATCCTTTAGCAGTAACTTATATCCTGAACCTTTATTTTAGGGGAAAAATTTTTTTTAATACAAGAAGCCCCTGGCATCACTTAGCTGAATCAACTTTTGTTACTCTGTGCAGGGTGTGAGTTGAAGTGATATAAAAGATTAGGACTCATGTTTCCCTCTTCCTTTCCTTCTCTTCTCGTCTCATCTCTCTCCTATATTTCCTCTCCAAGGCACCATTTCTGAACAGATTCAGCTGCCAGGGAAATGGCAATGGGTAAGGTGTGAAGGAGGAATGAGTCACACTCCTTTTAATCCTTGCTGACAGTTGCACACACGCACACCAACTTTGACTTCCCTGACCCCTTGAACCGTGAGGGTAAAGGTGAAGTTACACCATCAGGACAGCTTGTTACTTTCCTGGCAGCCTAGAGGTGTTACCAGTCGGCAACATTTTTCTCCATTAGAGATGAACTGGGGCAACGGGGTCTGATTGGATTAAATCTAAATGCATTAGGAACACAGAGCAAGTCCTCGTTGGAGAATGAGGTTAAAATTAAATTACTCAAATGGAAGAAAAATGAATCGAACTGTCTACTCTCCAAGAAATGTCCTGTCCCTTTCTGTAAAACAGGAAATAAATGGATAGATACATGCCTTCAAATCACCATCTTTACATCATCAAAATACTTTCTTAGCTGTTCTTTTCAGAGGACAAGTAGACCTGACTTTTTGGCATCTTAACCCTTCTAGAGGTTTTTCTTTCTCTGAGCCTTGTCCTCCTGCTTTTTAACTAGGCCATCTTCAAATACTTGACTCAAGATGGAATCCAGAGATTCCCTAGAGGGAGAGAAAATGTGTTTATCTGTATTTCCTTTCACTGAGTTTCATCATTTCTCCCAAAACAGACACTTTATTCAGACAAAGGTAGTTATAATAGCATCTCTGTTTTTAATTTTAAGTATTACTTTAATAAAGGAAGTCTCCATTTTGAAAAATGCATGAAAAAAGATCTGTCATCCAGGGCAAACATGGTAGTGAGGTTTTGACACTTCAGTAAACACCATCAGTTCTCCCTGTGAAGTAACTAATGAGAAGTCATCTGCTTTGGTTAACAGAGTGACAGGAAGCAGTTTGAATACTTGTTTCTAAGAGCAAAAATGATCTCCCAAAGACCTGAAGTTCACAATCCTCTAAACATGATGCAGTCCTAGCATTTAGAGCTTGAAGGGATATCAGAGTATCCAGTAAAGATCTTTAAGCAAGGAGAGAATGAAGAGCAGAGAAGTGAAGAGACACAGCCAGAGGAGAACACGGGTCCATGGCTGCTGCAGTCTAGGGCCTGCCTTCCCAGGAGGCATCAGAGCAGTGTGTGTCAGGCTGCCGTGTGTGGGCTTTGACAGTAAAGAGCCTAGCCATAGAAAACTAGTGAACAGCTTGAAGAACAGTTCCCTGAAGAAAAGCATTCTTCCTCAAGGGCGTGTTTCCTGAGAAAAGAATTGTCTTTCCTTGGTGACTCCATCAGGGCAAATGACATCCAAATGGCACTTCGTAGTGTCTCAGAGGACAAAGGCTTCTGCAGCAATACAATGTCTCCAGCTCAGTTTCCATCGCCACTGCTCCCCATAGCTCGCTCTGTTCTCTCTCCCCCTGCCTGCTGCTGGTTCTATGGCTGCCCTCTCATCTCCTTTTGGAAGATAAGCTAGTGATTTTAGTCTCATTTAGAATGAGATCAATTACTCCATTTACTCCATTGTCTTGACCTTTTTTTTTTTAGATGGATTTTCAGTAAGAGTACATGATAATAACTAACATAATATGAGAAAGGGGGCCTGGTGTGGAGCTGTAGTATAAGCACTGTACTGCTAACCACAAGGTCAGCAGTTCAAACCCACCAGCCACTCCTCAGAAACACTTCAGAGTCATTATGAGTCGGACCCAACTCGACTGCACTAAACAAC